TTTTCTAGCTCCGTATAGTCCTCCTATAATCACAGGTATCCAGACGATGTCATCAAATAACACTATGAAGTCGGTTAAACTCAAGTGGAAGGTGCGTAAAAATCGCTTTTCTATCTTCTCATCCAGTCATATAAGACGCTAGCTACATCTTCTAATTTGGCAGTAAGACACACAATCACTAGTACATTATGGTTCAATGTTTTCCCATTGAATTACGAACCAAGTCACAAGTGTACTCATTTGATTTGTTTGTATCATGTGCATGTCTTCTCAATGCGCAACCGTTTAACAAAGAAATGGTACTGTTGGAAATGACACATGGTCTGTAATAGGAAAATGGTCTATTGATGATGCTAGGTGGTTTGTTAGACGACACAATCGCTGTTAGGTAAAGACGACAACACGTATGTCAAAAAGTGTAATGAGTTAAATGAATTTATCATTTCTTTCTGTAGCATCCTCCCATAAGCAAGAGAAATGGGAACATTTCAAAATCAGTGGTTTCTTATCGGAATCAAAGAAATAATTCAAGTTCTTCCAGATCTTTTCCCCTTCATACTTACAATCTGACTATTCCTGGCCCTAAGAGTGAAACTGTTATCGAAGGACTTGATATCAATCTTGATTATTTGGTGGCTGTTATGTCCTGTACTGTTGAATGCAGCGTGAAAAGCTCGGAGTATCAGATCAAGAGAGAACCAATCGGTAAATATATAACTACACTGTAAAAAATGACTAGTTGAAACAACCCTGAAAAAAAGTTATATCCAATTGAAACGGTTATTACCTACCATTTGCTATTGGTTGATAAAATGACCAACATCAATATGGTCGTTATTATAACCAGGGTTTTTTTTGGTAAAACAACCTACATACTTATCACAATTGGTTGATAGCATACCAATATCGATATGGTTGTTATCACCAGATTTATATTTTGTTGAAAATAGTGATTTAGTGGGATAGGGATTATATTAAAAAACAAAAAAAAGATCACTGAAGCTGAACTTTTTCTTTTGTCTTTTTAATGTATTCCTTTCTCACTAAATTACTAATGTTCTGATACATGTATCGTATGACAACGTTCTTGCAAGCAGGTGTATTGGGATAAATATGTAGGCTAATGTTCTATTTTCGTATGACAACGTTCTTGCAAGTAGGTGTACATCTGCTAATGATTAGACATTCACCGTGGCTCGGATATCCAGGTTAATAGCGGCCCCGTCGACACGAGTGAAAAACGAACGTATATTTTCTCAGTCAAACTCTTCAAAATTCTTAGAAAACGTGCTAAAGTGCACGCATGCGCAAACGTTTTTCCCTGGTGTCGCGGCCCCGTCCCTAATCAACTAGAGGACGTTAAAAGAGGACCACTAGTTTATCAGCTGAATTACTATGAATGATTTATCGTCCTCTATAAACGAAGTTGATTTGGTTTGATTTTGGTTTTACTTTTCTTTCAACTGAATGGATTCTTACTTATATGCTTTAGGTCCGCTCCCATCCCCAAACGCCTCAACTGGAAGCCCTTTATCCACTGTTACTGTAACAATCTTAGTACTCGTAGCAGTTTTCGTGGCTGTACTTGCGTTGGTACTCGCTTATGCTATCTTACAACGCAGGAAGAGAAGGTATTTGTACATAGCCGATCAGACTTTGATTTTTGAATACATTTTAGGGTGGACTACTAGTCAGACACTTTCCTCTTTTTTCAAATATGCAAAAGATATCCATCCTTACAATACCAGGTACGCAGCAAAGCAAAACTTGCATAAATCACAAGTGCGTACCAATATAGGCAAGCAAATGACGGCTAATATGGCGATTGAACYCYGGGAACAAATTCCTAGCCACTTAAAAAATGTTAATGTATTTTCGTTTGCGAAAAAATTAAAAAGTTATTTACTTGCCGACCAATTACAGATAAAAATTTAGTTCTTCCTTAGATTTTCCTTTTTCTAAATATTCTATTTCTTTCTTCATATATGTTAATATATACCATACATGTCATTACTCTAATTGTGGATTAACAGTTTTATTGTTCAGTTAAATTGTAATTATTCTTTATGTACTTGGTTCTTCTTCAGTTTACTCCAATGTTAAATTTTAAATTGCTGGGGTCTAACTCGAAAACCTTATGGTTAATTTAGACCCCAGGCTCTGAATTATGTTCTTTTGACAATTATCTATTCTTTATTTTCTTAGTTGTTTTCTATAGTTGTTTTTCACATTTCATGTAAATTTTCTTGTATGAGCAAATAAAATTGTATTGTATTGTATTGTATTGTATTGTCAGAACCATTCAGAGCATATCGAAACGAATAGCAAGCGGGGATTGATGGTCTGCGGACGTTTTTAACGTGAAGAGGGAAAAAAAGTTAACCGGCTTGGAACTAAAGGATGATGAATGGTTCCGCTCCTCTTAGTTACCGTTGCTATGTCCGACAAGCTCAACACATTATCTAGAATATCTCAGAATTTAAGACTCTGATTGCGGAAAATTGATCAAATCGTTTCAATTACTGTCCTTAAAAGAAAATTGTCTCGTAATCCTTGTAGTACTCTTTAAAACATGTACAGATACTCTTTAGTTATCACTTGTGGGACAAGTTTTTAATTTCACTGGGAAAACTGCTGCAACGGTGTTTGGTTCGCCATTAATTGAGGGTTAACCATGAATTCGGGCAAGGAGAAAGGTAAAAGATGACTTAGTCAAATATGCATATGTTTCTTATTCACAGGAGAAATCAGGTGCCCCGTGTTCCGTTACCAGAACCAGAAGACATACAGGTCAGTTAAACGGTTCGTCGGTTCGTCTGTCTGTCTGTCTGTCTAAGTGTCCTTTCGTCTGTTTGTCTGTCTGTCTGTTGGTCTGTTCGTTCGTCCGTCCGTCCGTCCGTCTTTTTTGGTCTTAAATGAAGAAATAGAAAGAGCGCGCACGTGCTGTGTGCAGTTATAAAGCATGTGGGGGTTGGCAGAACACGAGAGAAGCCAGGTTAGGACACTTCTCGAGTGTTCCGCCAATCCCAAGTGCTTTATAACTCCACACAGCACAGCAAGCAAGTTTTTTATTTCTTTTAGAAAAATACAAATTACAATAACCTTTATTTTAGATAGGACTGACGCAACTGAAAGTGCGCGCGCGTGCTGTGTGCTCTCATAAAGCCACGCGCTCCACGCGCTCTCAATCAATCAGGACGCGAGATTTATAACAGTTATCTCATAATCTGTTTTAATTAATAGCTCTTGTTATTATTGTAGGTATCACACATTACTCCAGACAGTGAAGTCAGTGACCATTTAGAAAGCTCTGAGTACGCATTCCCAGCGACTTTACTTACATCTGTGGAATCAGCCAATCACGAACGAGCATCTATGCTTCAGAACGAAAATGATGGAGGCGATACCAAGAACAATTTCTTGTTATTGTTGTAGGTATCACACGCTACTTCAGACAGTGAAGTCAGTGACCACTTAGGAAGTTCTGATTACGCATGCCCAGTGCCCGTACTTACATCTGTGGAATCAGCAAATCACGAGCGAGCATCAGTGCTTCAGAATGAAAATCATGGAGGCGATATCGAGAACAGAATTGCCAATATGGAAGAAATACCACTTAGTTAAAACTATTGATTTTAATAGGTAAAGAGATTTAAGGTTTTAGAAAATTATTCAAATTTGCTGGAGAAGAGAATTTAGAAAGGGAATTCGAAGTTGGTATTTTAAAAAAGAAGCTAATTAGTATAGGCAATAATGTTATGGGTTGGACCGCTCTCGGTACGAGCTACGGGATCTTTATTCCACTTTAATAATAATAATAATAATAATAATAATAATAATAATAATATTTAATGAGGATACTCCACTCATAAAAATGATTTTCAGGGAGGTCCTAAAATAAAAAATTTAAAAGATAAGTGAAAATAATTGACCGAATCGAGAACTCGGCCGCGAGTGCGCCGATATGTGGCCTAAGGCGTGGAAAAACGACCCGGCGCGACCTGGCGTGATTCACGAATTAGGAATCACGCCAGATCGCTCCGCCAACAACCCAAGCCCCACACCAGCGCGCGCGCGACCACAACGCCCCGGACTCTCTTCTTCTATACTCTATCTCTACTCTTCTTCTGACTAAAACTAATTACATGAGCTCTATTTATAATAACTTCATGACAGGTGTCATTCTACAATCAATATGATGTTATCGCTGAGTCCTGATTGGCTAATGGAAATAGTAAATTCCTAAGTGTGATATCTTATTAAAGAATAATACGAGTGAAAATCATAGAACTAAACATAGCTTAAACTAAAGATAATATGTGAATATATGGTAAATGTATAGAAAGGTCTACGAGGGATATTTATATCATAAGATTTAAAAGAATAGTGCCAAAATAACTAAGCAAAGGGGGAAAGAGTGTTTAGGGTGTAACCAGAGGTGTACATGCTAATGGGAGGAGCTAAGTGGTTTACTTGTAAATTCAAAGCATACCATCATCTAAACTTGTGCGTGATGGTAGCCTTACTGAAATCTTATATCGATATTTTCAATGACTAATTGATCGTTCTTTATCTTGTTTTCATACGATAAGAAATAGTAATTAGAAATCTGATGTCCAGCTTAGTCTGTAAGAACATTAATTTTCTCTCTCATAACAATAGACCCCTTGCATGTGACGTCAAAGCAGCTCGATCTGGGGGACAAAACAAAAGAACTCCAATCTCCTGAGAATTGGAACCTATCGTTGTGTTCCCAAGATTGAGCTGCATTCCAAAGTGCTGCAAGGGGTCTATAGCATGGTTTGTTCGTGCAAGCTAGAGTGAAGTCATTAAACCCATCAAATAGAGATTAGACTAACACACTTTAGTAGACCCTAATTCCATTGTTTTCTTTCGTGTCTATTTGACTATTACACGTTGACTAATAATTTTTATTTCATGGGTTAAATGCCTTCCCTATATTGTTTGTTTATAATATGAGCTAAGAAAATAAAGTGCAATTTCGATCAGGCATCCATTCGTTGAAGCTCATTACGAGATTCGTGGCGCCTGTTTCAATCATGTGACAAAAATTTAACTGACATTGCAATCAAAAGTTCTCAAAGTTCTGATAAATTATTTCCTATTCTAAAGAGACTAAAAGTACAAATATATTGTTTGAAATGGATTATCGTCGATCGATGTTACGACTTTAGGACAAAAAGAAAGTTAAACTGAGATGGATGTGTGTTTAACTTGCTGTTGCTGGAGTGTTCCAAGATCTGAAGGACGAGAAAAAGTAGAGAGTGGCTGTTTACTACTGGATAGGCTGGCCTAAAGGAGCACTCAGCTCGGGATCGCTAATATTACTCGTTCCCATCATTTTTTCGCACTTCGGCAAAAGAAAAAAGAAAAAACGCTAGTAGAGATTTTTAGATACTTTTTTCTCCCCGCAAACGGCAAACGTGGCCACGTTTTCATAGTTTTCCTGTATTTTACTTTACCTTTTACAAACCTTCTCACCAAAGACAAATATTCTTTTGTTTTTCTACTACTTGGACTTTTTTGCGGTTCTTTTTAAGCTATTCAAAATAATTTTTAAATGGTCAACTGACGTTTTACGTTTGCCGTGAACGTAAATCTAAAGCTCTCTAGTGTCTTATCAAGCTCTTCGCGCTGGTAAGTCAAAATATTCGCTTCAAATCCTTTAGTTCCCGCCATTTTTTGAAAATCAAAAACGGGCGTTGCCATGGCAATTTTGAAATCACACGTTTGAAAGCTTGAAATCACACTATTAAGAAGAAATCACTCCTCTCAGCCAATCGAGTTGCAGAATTTTCTTAGGTCATATGATAGCACGTCACAGTTAGTTCACACTCAACACAGGGTGACCGYGGAATGTTTTAAGGAACAAGACTCCAATAGCGCAGGGCAACCGTGACGTCATAAAAACGAAGACAAAGGCGAAATTCGGACAAACAAACTTACAAGTTTACTTTCAGCAGATAATTTTCACAGCCGATCGCAGTTGATCTTAGTTTACATTATCGTAACTTTATTATTGTAACTTTAAGTAAAAATAATAAAATCGGTTCGTATAATCCTCGTAGCTGTTAAACAGAATGCAATGTTTTTCCGAATCTTTAAGCTATTTTTAGGATCAGTGCGCTGCGCTATAAAGCAAAGCCTGATCGAACGGCAGAATCTTCAATATAAAGTCTCGCTCAACGTTTCCAGAGGTCTACAAGTGACCTAGACCAGTTTTAGGTAAATTACTTTTATTGGGGGAGGGAGAAAGGGGATCGGATTAGCAGTATTTTAGCAGTATCATACACTCCTATTAAGTCAACAAGGAAAAGCTTTAATTTCGTCAAAATAAAATGTTTGGCCCTCTAAACAAGTCGAATTTTTTACTGATGACTCCCCCCACTGACGCCCCAGCCCTCCCCCCCCTAATAAAATGTACCTTTCTTGAGCATATTTTAAGCTTTCTACCAAAGTGGACATATAGACCCCCTGAAGCAGATTGGAATACAGCCCAATTTGAAGGGCAAAACAAAGGTTTCCAATTCTCAAGAGATTGAAATTATTTTGAATTGAGCTGCTTTGAAGTCACGTTCAAGGAGTCTATTGCATAAAAGCCTACATTTTTATTTTGTATATATTAAAGTTAAAAAATCGAGAAAAGAAAAAAACACTAGTAAATAATTTGATAAARGGAAAAAGGAACGATTTCATACTGAATAAGGCCTGTGATAAGAATTGAGATTTTGTAATGCCTTAGAACCACAATTTTTTTTGTTTTTTTTTTCGCGCTGCCACGCACGCAACACAGATGCCCCATGGAGCTCTAGTGTTGTTCTGTTTCTCGATCTTTTACTCTCGTACTCTATCGTTTAATCTTAAGATGATGCAAGAAAGGGAGACTAGTAGGTCCAGTTATTACAAATAAGTAATTAAAAAATGAAAAATAAAATATTTAGTTTTCAAAACGTAATTGGTCTTCAATAGACGCTTCCAAACTATTAAGAACAACTACTCATAGTTAGGCTGCATTCATAATGTATGGGGGGGGGGGGGGCAGGTGAAATTGGGGGGGAATCGGGATAATTTTGGTAGGAAAAAGGGGGGATCGGCAATTTTTTATCAGAAAAAATGGGGGGGATGCACAATTTTTGGAAGAAGCTACAAGCCTTGCTTAGGGGGATCGTATTTTTTTTTGCATGACTTTAAGGGGGGGGAGGGTGTTAAGAATTATGCTGGACATTTCAAATTTTCACCTCTCCCCCCCCCCCCCCCCCCCCCCCCCCCCCCCCCCCCCCCTCCCCTCTGCCATACATTATGAATGCAGCCTTAACATGAACAGCTGAAACTATGAACAGATGAGACAGAACTTTATATTCTTTTTTCTTTAGAATTGAAAATAAAACATAAGTTGAAATACTGCCTGATGAAATAAGCCGTTAGACAAAGCAAGAGGGCTTAAGCAGCGGGAAGGGGTGCCGGCATCATTTCAAAAAAAGGCGTTGTTTAGGGTTGTTTCCATAGTAACAAAACTGTTGTTACGCTTATATTGTGAGCCTAGTTGTGCGCGAATGCAAATCGCATTAACGTTTTTAATAATTATAAGCTGCCTACGTAGGAGGGTACATTGTCCTCTAACCTCTTGAAAGCTATGCTGGACTTATGTATAATTTCAAAATATTTTAAAGTATTTTTATTTTCTTTTTATTCATGTAAAGAACGTTAATTTACTACTTTTTTGTTTCATCCACGTTTTTCTAATTTTATTAGAACATTCATTATTTGATACACAAGAAACGACAGTGATTTCTCGCTTTAATATTAGCCATTCCACTCTGTGAGATTTCAAAATTTATTACAGTTTAAATCTATATCCCATGAAAAAATTTACCAGCGGAGAACGCCCAGCGGAAAACTTATGTAAACGTAAGAACAGTGCAGGGTGCTGGCATATAGGCCGGTCTTTGTTTACGTTTTTTCCTCATTAGCATAAAAAATATTTTAAGCTACAAGCAAATCGATTCTAGAAATCGAAAGAGAATGTCTTATTTAGTAACTACTGAAAATTTGAGAGTAATGTGTTCATTATTTTGGGAGTAAATTTTTTTTGAAAACACTATAAATTACAAAGAATTATGTATGGTGTCTGGAAACTTGCCACACGACCATACATTTCTTTGTAAATCATACTGCTTTCAAAAAAAAATTTACTCCCAAAATAATGAACAAATTACTCTCAAATTTCGGTTACTAAATAAGACATTCTCTTTCGATTTCTGGAGTCGGTTTGCTTGTAGCTTGAAATCTTTTAGGAAAAAACCGTAAACAAAGATCGGCCTATACACTAGGAAAAAGAAAAGCTTACGACTTAAAAGCTTAAATACTCATAATAAAGTTATCATTGGAACAGAAAAAGAAGACTTCTTATTATTTTCAGTCTATCTTTTATTTTATGATCCATTATTTTAAGACTAGCTTTGTTATTTTAAAGAACCCATTCAGTTTCTATGGAAACAAGAAACCGAAGAGGAAATTGATTATGAACGATTTCTTACAAGAAATTTCCCCGAAATTTTCAAAAAAAAAGAAGGGAATGATGAAAAACAATGTGGTAAAGGGATAAAGGTTCAGAATTTGAGTTGAAAAAATTAAGAAGAAAAGAAAAGTAAGAAAGAAAATAAAAATACATCTAGCTGTCAAAAATACAATACAAAAATAGAAGTCTGTGATTGGTCGGTTTAGCCTATTCACCTGCGCTCGTTCGATTCGTATACACAGAAATTATGCTTTATGCCTTGCTCAGTAGAAAAATAAACGTGATGGCGGCCTCAATCTTTATTTTCGCTTTAATTTTRTCACCTTTCTCTGTTCTCGGTAAGTAATCTTATGTAATATAAAATTTCTAAAGATTCAATCGCTCAAAAAGCGTACTATATTTCGACTGAAACCCTTTTGAAGCGATGAAAAGGCGATAGAATAGCCTAAGTGAAATCGATCGAGGTGCATAGTGAATCGATCTAAGTATTTAGCTTAATGTGAAAGCGAAATGTAAGCTCAACTCTTCGTAAACCTCGACTTTGGGTAGTTAATCCGTTGCTGTATCCAGCTTTTTTCTACGCGGTATAGATTTCGAGTTCATTCTGGCAAAGAGTTTTCAACTCTGACCCACATTTTTAAAACCACTCGTCCGATCGCGACCCAATTGCAACATGAAATTTTATACGAGTTCAACTAACTAAAAGTTATGAAAAACAAAACAACTCGTTCGATTATCAGTAAAGGATATCAGTAAAGGATATCACAAGGATGTTCACTTGCCTGTTTTCTTTATAGATTTTAACTAAGTGCATTGTTTTTTATCTACATGTATTTACACTCTAGTACTTTCGACACRTGCTGCAAAATGAAAACTTGTAATGGTCACGCTTGCTATGTTATAAGAACTTATGAAGTTATTCACTTATCTAACCAAAGATAGATACCGTTTATTATTAACATAACGAAGAATCATAATAGAACAAAGGCCTCATCGCACTGCATTGACAAAAAAGTAGGAAAGCACCAAATTTCGGCTCGACAAGTTTTGTYTTGACTAAAATTTTACTAATTTCAATGGCGACTAGACCTCGCTTGTCCGCACTCGAAAGAGCGCAAATGTTTTTCTTATCGCAAAATGTCAATCAAAAAATCGTAGAAGTGTTAGAATCACTCGTAAATCAGAGCTGATGACTGATTTTTTGAAAAGTAAAACATTATCTCAACTAGTTCGGAACGGGACGTAACCATTCACGAAAGGGTAAAGGAATTATAAATAACAAACAGAACAGAAAAGAAATCCCAAATTTCCCTCGGGCCCCCTTCCCTGCCACCAGATATGTTATCCGTCTCACTCCCCAAATTTCAGAGTGAACCAGTATTAAACCTGAGCTGCTCTTATCATGCCATCCCCCCAAAAATTCACTTGTGTCCCCCCCTTGTTATCCTTTGCTAAAATTCAGCATATAGTATACTTCATGACATGATAAACACCTGGTAGAAATCAAAAAATTGTTATCAATAGCAACTAAATAAATCAGGTCTGTCAATTTTAAGAGTATTATCAACATTTAATTTCATCAAATTTACTTGAGGTCAAAAGCAATTCGTGAGTTTAAAAAAAAGAAAGTTAGAAAAAAAAAACGTAACAGTGAGGATCTCAAACCGTGAACACTCCTTTTTACCGCAAACACTTAATCTTTTTCTTCTTCTTCGGGTTATTAGAGTGTTTTCTCTCTGTAATGTCACATTGAAGAAGCCATTCAATGGCTGAACCAATCAAAATTTAGGAACAATATTACTGCATGACGTCCAAACACATAGCTGGAATAACAAAGCCAATATTTTAGGTTTTTTGCCAAATTGTAGGGGAAAATGAATTTTTGAACGGGAATATAATACCAATAAGCCTGAAGCGAGATGACGTTTTACACCCGACTCTAGACCATAATAGTTTATAAAATTCTTTCATATTAAAATTTTTGATTGCTTTTAGGACACAAGAACAATAGTCATAATAAAAGAACAATCGCAGTGTCAAAAGGATTATGGTCTAGAGACGGGGGTAAAACGTCATCTTGCTTCAGGCCTATTACAAAGTCACCCAACCTTAAAAGTTAACAATCAGTATGATTGATGACACCATTTGCATATGAGCAGTCAACTTTACAATTTATTGGATTTTTTTCTTTTTGTGCTTACACCACTTCAAAGTGCCATCCTTAGGAACCAAGGGGTAAAATATTCTATAAAAGTAATTGAACGGAGCACAGAAAATTTACACTATTGTTTTTCTTTTCTAGGTGGTGTTATGGACCCAAGTTGTAAACCAGTTGGAACAAAGTCAATAACAATTTTATGGAAGTTCTCACCAACTAAAGCTAGTAAATTACCCAATAAATTTTCTGTGTACTTCTGCAAGAATATTTATTACAATTGTGTGAATACAAGCATCAATTACCATCTTGGGTGCGCTGTAAATGTGACAGAACAAAAATCTGAATACAGCTGTGACATTGGGAAGGCTCTAAATATAAATTTCCCTGAGGAGAGTTCATTCATTTTTTATGTCAAACCAGATAATGGCCCACCTGTGATTCGAAGATGTCTGTTTAATATGGAGAGTATGTATTTTATTTTATTTTGTTTTTTTAATATTGTAAAATTCTCACTTCCTCTTCTCCCCTTATCCACCCTGTTCCCATGGTTTCTTTTCCTCCTCTCAAGGGCAGATCCAGCCAAAAATTTAGGGGGGGAGGGGGGGCTAAAGGTGAAAGGTTTCCCCGCCACAGGCTACCACAGGGATCCCAAGTAATTAAAAATGGTGTATCGAGGCATGGTGTCCAATCCTGGACTGACTTTTTGCAAAAATGTTTTATTTTAACACAATTTGATCGTTTTGGTTTTCTATTTAAACACATACTTTGATATTTGGAAACCTCTATAATAAAAAATTCTTCAGTTTTGTTTTGTTTTTTTCTGCTGAAGGGGGACTTCAGCCCCCCTTCCCCCTGGATCCGCCCTTGCCTTTATGCCGTTTCCATGGTTCCTTCTCCTAAGGGACCCTTCATTCTTTAGAAGGGGAGTGGGCTGTAGTACAGGGGATGGCCATTAAATTTCTACTCAGTCAAAAAAGGGCGATCATCGRTCAACAATTCAACAGGGTCACTTTTTATGCAGACATAAGTAAGGGGTGCTAAAGATTTTACATTACTGTTCATAGGGATTCCTCCAACTCAACCCTATGAATGCTTCCTAAAAAATATTATGTTGGTTGAGTGACTGTTGCTATTTGACATTGTAAAGTGAATGTAACAACTACATTCACTATTAATACCAATACTGGCATGACTTTTTAAAATAGCAGCAGATGACTGGAGCTCTGCTTCTTTAGTGGCCAGAGATGATTTGCAATCGTTAATTTGCAAAATAGACCATTCTGAGATATCAGTGAATATATCATATTATATTAATACCTTCTTTCAGTTCAGTGTTCTAAACCTACTGGGTTAAAGCTGACACCATTTGGGAAGGGAACGTTGAAGCTTCATTGGTCTGTACCAACTGATATGGGTAAATCTGGTGGAAACCTCCTGTGCTATTTTATTACATATTTTAGGGCAGAAAGTCCTGAAAAAAAGGTATATAAGCATAAGCATAGTTGAGATAGTTCCAAAAATTATCCATAATCCCCTCAATGAGTAAATGTTTATAAGAACCCCCCCCCCCCCCCCCCCCCCCCCCCCCCCCTCTGGAAATTCAAACTTTCTTCCATACAAACTTTCTTCCATACAAACTTTTTCCATACAAACTCTATAATCTGTAATCACGGATTATACATATGATTCATCATATATGTAATCTGTGGTGTTGTCATGCACTTTTAACATGGGCCCCTGCCTCGGAAAATTGGCATGGCAACCACTCCCTGGGTTGTTGACGTAAAATAAATTATCCTTATACTTATCCTTGTTCTTTCTCTGACCCCCACTCTGCTGAAATTCCAAATTTTGCTCTTTGGTGTGGGTATGCATAATTTCTGGAACTACAAAATGAGAAAATAGGCTCATTGACTAAAATATACTATTGATAATATGAATCTAGGGATTGCAAATTTCAGTTATTTACAATAAGGGAGGTTATTTAGTGATCATATGATCATTTGACACACAATCATTCATTTGCACAGATGTGAGTTTGATCTTGTTGTCCTTCTCTTAGTTTGAGGGATTAAGGTGTAAAATATCTAAAAAGTCAGTATAATGGAGTTACATATCTTTTGCACTTTACAAGTTTCCTTTTTATATTTGGTAATTGTTATATCAGTGAAGATTTAGTTCTGTACTACTTCTAGGTTAATAATTGTTGATGATTTTCCATTTGATCATGAAATAGCCAGCAGTGATTAGTTTACTACCCAGCAATTAATTACCTGTAGCCACCTTCTATTGGAACATCTGTATTTATTTAACACAGACATGCAGTACCTCTCTGCACTATAGGCATTACATGTGCAGACATACCTCAGAAATTGCTTTGTAGCATTGGTTTACTGAAATTCTTCTTTCTTGTCTTCTATCTAAATTGAAAAACTTTTTTTTCAGTTCGAGCATAAATTTGTAAATGAAGGACTTTATGAATTTGAGATAAAGTCCTTGTTGCCATACCAGAAATATCATGCATACCTAAAATGTGCATTATCTTGCACACAAAAGAAAAGTCTTGCTGCAGGACCAGCCATTGCCACGACACTAGAAGAAGGTAAGTTAAATAATTATGGATGGGTGGGTGGGTTGTTGGATGGGTGGGTGGGTGGATGGATGGAAAAGTGGGCAGATGAATGGATGGATGGATAGGTGGATCGATGGATCTTTCAATGTAAATAAAAGACTAAATAAGCAAATGCATTAATGAAAATTGATGACAATGATATACATGTAAGATCGAATGACATATTTATTTATAAAAGAAATTTWAAAAAATGGAATCATGTTTTTGTTGCTTCAAATTTATCAGAACCTCAAGACCAAGTGAGATTTCAAAACTGGTTTGAAAGAAAAGTAGATCATCAAACAAGAAATGTCACCGTGGTTTTTAAGGTAAAATGTTTCATCTTATTTCTGCAAACCAAAAAAGTATTTTGCAGTTGCAGCAGAGCTCAAGGGGCATTAACCCTCACCCCCTCTCCCCCTCAATTCCCTCCTTTCCCTGATCAATAATTTTGAAATGATTAGGCTCCCAATCCGAAATCCACTCTACAGCTCCTAGTATAGGTTGAACAGCGTAATGTCCAGTGATAAAAATGTGATTTTTGATTATATTAAAATATGACTTTAACTGAATTCAAATTTGTAGATTCCCAACAAAGAGAAGTGGAACGGCAAGGTTAAACAAATCAGGGTATTCTGCTATGAATATGAACATCTGTGTATGAATAAGACAGTGAGGGAGTTATTACCAGATCAACAGCTGCAGTACAACACTACATTTTCCTACCTCAAGAATAATACAACGTATCATGTTAAAGCAGATTACTGCAACAGCGTGGGTTGTAGCCCAACAAGCAGAAACCAAACAATATTGCCGTCACCACCTGGTATGAAAGTCATATCAACATCAATTCTTAGTTTGAATTTTTATTGATATCTCAGCTGACACAATTAACCTCTGAGCTAATAAAAGTCAGGGCACAGCTAAGCTAACTCACAGATTGAACCTGAAACAACTTCTTGGTTGATCTACTGTAAGTCAGCGCATGACTAACTCACAGATTGAACCCAGTGAAACAACCTCTGGGCTGATCTAAGTCAGGGCATGGCTAAACCACAGATTGAACCGTGAAACAGCCTCTTGGCTGATCAAAGTCAGGGCATAGTTAATTCACAGATTGAATCCTGAAACAACCTCTCAGCTGATGCAAGCTGGACACAGCTAACAACACACAGATTGGATTCTCACTTAACAACCACACACATATTCACATTCAAAATAAAAGTTCACCCCATTCTATCCCCTTGATTAATTTCCAATTCTAGCGAGATGTACAATATATGTTAAAACTAAACAAGCTTACATCCCTGCATCTTATTAATCTGTTTTCTAGTATTTCTTTCAATGAAAATATATTATATCATAACTATATAAATATATTTTGTAAAAAAATGCATTTTTAGCTAAAAAAAATTGTATAGCTGTATATATATATATATACATTTTACTWTTTTTTTTTTCAAAACAAAAGATGCAGCCAAAGTTGAGGTTCAATTAGAGCCAAATGAGAGCTTAACAACAGGAAAAGTTGTTGGTATTAGTGTTGGTTGTATTGTTGGTGTGTTTCTACTCATGATCATGATAATAGTGCTAATCAAGAAATGTTACAGGTAATCTTATGTATTCATATTAATGATTTCCACAGCTGCCATGTTGGATGAATGTGTCAAAAGTCCACCATGTCTTTTGTTATTTCATATTCTTTAAGCCAAGTGTGGGCCGTTCCCACTGGCACCTTTACTGTTTAAATATTTTTAAAGATATTACAGGCTAGCTCCAGGTCAGCTAGATCGAGAAAACGTCTGAACCAGTTGGCTACCCGGGGGGGGGGTTTGCCACCAGGAATTCAAAACCCTGACCCTATCCCAGACCTAAAATTTTGATTTTACATGTACCCTAGCCCAGACTAAAAGTAAGAATTGTACACCCTATCCCAGACTAAAAGACGGAAAAGACGGTTATTGAATAGATTGCAATCAATATTTACTAACGTTTTTATTGTCTTTGTGCCGGCAGAAAGCGTAGCCTATTCGCCAGACAAAAACGACCAAATCTTAACCCTATCCCAGACAAATATGATACCCTATCCCAGACAGAATATCAAAAAATGATACCCTACCCCAGACCCAAAAGTCGAAAAACCCTACCCTATAGGACGGCACATACCCGTATAGCAAATATAGGGGAGCATCCCCCCCCCCCCGGGTTGGCTACACAGTCCCTAGAATAAAGTGTTGCCGACAGATCGATAGCATTTTCAGTCCAGATTTTTTACCAAATAGAAGAAGAAAAAAGAAAGCTTAAGTAAATCGTATTTCAGTATGGGTGATTGACCATTGGAGAGTACTGTAGTTTGCCTTCCACTGGGAGCTGAGCTTGCATTAGGGCTTATGATAAGATTAATAAATTAAATAACATTATATTTACTATAATTAGTAATTATAATGATTATTTGATATTATTTATTATAAGTTGATTCAGACCAAGCAATAGAATACTCTGGTTGACAGTATATGAATGGCAGTGTTTGTTCCTTAGTCTAGATCATCCTTCCACAGGTTTAAAATGGCATTCATTCAGCATATTATTGATTACAAGAACAACCACAGCAATAACAACGAAATAGATGACTAAACAAAGATATAAAAAAGCTACTTAGAGAGAGAGAGAGAGCTAAACGAGTTAGGCAGCTAATAGGACAGGGAGTTCCTATTAATGTAATATTATCATCAATCCTACAGGAATTCTGAACCTCATGAGCCCCTCGAGGAAACCATTGGTCCATTGGTAAGTTTTAAAAGAATGAAAATATCATGCCTATAGTATCGATGAAAGGAAGCTTTCTCTTTATTTGTTTGTCTTCATCCAAGGGCACTAGGACACCGAATGTGGTTGGATTTCTATAGGTTTTTTTCCCTTTCGATTATGAATTAACGTTTCACTTGTTTACTTATCTTGCGTCCGTGTTCCTTCGTTCGCTGTTGTAATGCAGACGTTTTCATTCCAAAGGTCAAACGGTTTGAATAGCCTATAAGCGTTACTTCTTTAACGGCCGTTCCGTACTTGACTCTGTTTGTACTATACCAACTACAACGCGACCGCGCGATGCTCCTTACGTAAGTAATATTCAACCGTCCAGAGTTAATATGGTTGTGGAACTTAAGGTGAATTTGATTAACCATATTAACTCTGGACGGTTGAATATTACTGACGTAAGGAGCATCGCGCGGTCGCGTTGTAGTTGGTATAGTACAAACAGAGTCAGAACACGGACACAAGATAAGTAAACAAGTATAACGTTAACTCATAATCGAAAGGGAAAAAAACCTATAGAAATCCAACCACATTCGGTGTCCTATAGTGCCCTTGCTTCATCCTTCCAGTCCGACTGTTTACTGATTACATAACCGCAGTGAACTCTGGGAGGTGCGGGATCTCATGGCATTCTGGGATTTTTGTGTTATCGCACGCGCCCCAACTATGCAGTAGAGAAATACGTTTGCGCATGCGTGTCAGCACGTTTTCTAAGAACTTAGTAGTACTTACTATGAGTTTGCATAAGGAAAGTCTACTCAGTACGATATTTTGTGTCAAAGTCATTCACCCATTTCTTCAAAAGGCGTTTAAAAGAACTCGAATTGGTGAGTAGACTTTGTTTACTAATGAGGCATTGATTACCTCGCTTCCATTCAATTGTCCCTAGTCCCAACCKAGTTTGGCGGCCATTTTTAAAAGTCGTGTACAGTGTATAGCATGAAGACATTTTGACTAATTTGCATAAGAATTTTGGGCATGCGCAGACGTTTTACACTCGTGTCCCCAAACTGAATAAGACTTTGTACAGTGTACCGAGGTACTGTCCCCGTACTTTGATCGTACTGCGAACGATAAATCGATGGCCATTTTGTCTTTGTCAGTCTCCCACAAGCGAACCCCGCGAGGGCGAGGAAGCTGGTGAACAAGCTAATAGTGTGTACAGCAGAGCCAACCATCTGATCCAGAGCAACCACCTAAGCCCAGAGACAACTGACTTCCAATCAGCATCTGTTAGGTCTATAAATAGCATGAACTCCATTGGTGGACTAACCGACCAATCAACACTCGGGGATGATAATTCGGCTTCCATTCCTAATAATGAAGAGGATCCTAATCGAGAAAGTGTCAGATTGTTACCGAGACCTGGTTCCCCTTCAGTACAGCACCGTCCCAGTCACCGAGACGACAACCAGCATACTCGAGTTTAGCGTAGAAAAAATTATTATTGGGATCACTGTGGGTCTTTTTCAATCACTTTTTTTCCCCCTTTTTTCTTTTCTTTTTTTCTTTTCCGGCGGGACAGAGATTTTGCAGCAACTTCAAACTTTTGAGGTTAAAACAGAATTTGGCCAATTTAGGGTATGTATACGTTTAGATAGCTTGTCAAGTGTTTTTGTTTTTATTGAAATTGAAGATATGTTTTCTCTGACTTTTTAAATATTTATATATAGAATATTCGATCACGTATCTTCTTTGAAGTAGTTTTTTTTAGTTTCTTTCTTGATATATTCCGTGTTACATCGCGCTTTAACCGCCGACTCCCTATAGAAAAATTAGAGATTAGAGTATGATCGTTAACGGATACGCCGTGTCGTGCRCGAATATTTTCACTGGATGATCAATGATCCGCGCGATATAATGGGCCTACGATTTGTCCTGGTTTCCCCTCCGTGTACGTAATGGTGTCTCAGTGGTACCGGCTGTGACGTCGCAGCCATATGAAATAGTGCAGTTTTCGTATGACTGTGAAAAATTGACGGCACGAACACGGCCATGACACAGCAAGGGATCGATACGCCAGACCAATCACATTGCACGAGAATTTACTCTCCATCTAATCAAAAACCCTCAACAAGCGGCATAAACACGGCGTGGACACGGTAACGGCAAGGTCACGGCAATGCCAGACCAATCACATTGCGCGTGAAAAAATCAGCCAATTAAAATTCTAGAAAGCATCACGGCACGGCACGCTTACGGCACTGAGCTTTTCATAGTCATACGAAAACTGCTCTACTCGGTGACCTCATTCGAGGGTTCAAAACAAAAAGTACTAGCAAAAATGATTTTATTTCTTCAGAATAGGATTTGCTTTTGAATGTTTTGCTTACTAGAGGGAAAGAATAAGATTTAAAATCACATTTTTAGTTTATTTTAGCTGTTTTAAATAACATATGGAACCGGAACTACGTCAACTGTCTAATAATACACGAACTAATTTCGGGCATGTCGATTTGGGGTTTTAAATTATTTGTACAAACGTGTATTAATATTATTGTTATCATTATACACTTTATCCTCGCCTTTGATCGAATTGGCTGAGAGCTTTTTTCTACGAATCCCCATCATTTATCATACCAATAATTGTATAAAATACTGTGCGGATAGGTAGAATTTACGCAAATTTCGTATAATATTAACATTTTTCAGTTACTGTAGAGTTGGGGTGGTATTTACTGTGTACGTATTTCTATTATGAGGGTGAAATTTGTATTTTCTATTTTCGGGACTGACGGGGCTTTAGAAAAAACTGGGTCGAGTTGACGTTGGATTGCACTGTGCAGGGGACTGTTTTATATAGGAGACGAAATAGACGCCATCTTTGAAATATTCCCCCTCAAACGGTCCCACAATGCACTGCAACATCATTTCGACCCAGTGCTTTTACTTAACCTCGAAATGRCTAAGTGTAAGTATCAAGTATCAATTGTAGAAAAAGTAAAAACAAAATTAGGAATTTTTAAAAAAAATATTCGTAGACGATGACGAAACAGAAGGCATACTATTCGTAACTTGTTTAGTAGTTTGAAGAGTTTGACATTTTTACCAGACAATTTAATAAGTAACTAAATTAATAATGATACTGAACATCTACATAAAATATGATAAGATGGATGATCGTATTTAAGTGTATAGTGTATAGTATATAAAAAACAAATATATCGATAATGTTTATTGAAAGTAATAGGATTAATATATTATATGTAATTTATATTAGGTCAAAATGATTTACAACAATAATATAAAATATTACGATATCAACATTTTTGTTAGAGCATATTAGAGTGCACGCCATATCTCCGTGTAACGATTACCAGCCATGTGGCGCTTAAAGACCCATTGCCACTTACCGTGATGCACCGCGGTCACAGATGAATTTCGTGGTTCATGAAATTCAAAGATTCATATATTGAATAATAACTTCATATTAAATCCTTTTCCGACATAGCACTAAGGCACAATAATGATTCTTTTACATTCTTTTAAGAGTTTATTCAAAAGGTTAGAAATGTTTTTTCAGTGGTGACACGATTCAAAATGTAAACAAATTGTGATGCATCACGGTAAGTGGCAATGGGTCTTTAAAGGTAATAGTTAGATAGCTATCAACTATATAATTGTAAAATAGCTAAGAATTCCCTCAAGGTGGCTGCCTACTTTTGAACGTTCGATTTGAGCCCACGATGTGCGCGCGCTCAAAAACCGCTGAAAAATCTACAAGATTTTATTGAAGAACCATACGCGTTTCGAGCTTCAACAGGGCAAAACCCTCACATTTTGCACGGGACTCTATATTTTTTGATAGCTCATTCGAAAAAACTCCTA